GAGAGCATACTGCAGAAGGAACTGACGACCTTGGATGATTGCGTCTTTTACCTATATAAATACAGCAAGAGGGACTGTGTAATATACTAGTAAGTCTGTCTGCCATTCATCGTACTTCTTCAAATGGCCAAGGTCTCTTCGATCTGGCAAGCGTCATTAACTGTCCCTCTCTGGTTGCTCTTGAGCCTCTTTTTTGTGCTTTTTTTCAACGGCACTTCCGATGTAACAGTTGCGGTAATTAGCACAGACAGACAGGACAGTAAAGGAGTTGAACTTCACGTTACTTCGAATTTTACTGTTTTGTGTTATCTGCCCCCAGGCGTCGAGAGGGTTGTCGGGCGACGGACTCAACGCATACCTCAGCGGCTCAGCCCATTTCTGGGCGTTGCACAGGAGCGGGGAGCTGCTCGCGGCGTGCTCCCCTTTCTCTCTCCTCCCTCGCTCGTTGTTCTCTCTCCTCCGTGTCCCTGCTTCTCATCCCCCTGTGCTGTGCAATGAATTGCAGTGGCATGCGAGCTGTACACTAACCTTGTTTGATGTTGCCTGGTTTTGAGTCCTTAGGGATTTGATCCCGCAACCTGTTTGTTTGCTTGTTTGCTTGTTGGCTGTGTTTGCCTGTTTATTTTGAGCCTTGTTGGACTCGATCCCTAGACCTGTCAGCAGCAATCTCTGTTGGCTGGTTATAGACCCTTCGGGCTCGGGCTGTTTTGGGTTGTTTCAGTACGAGGAACGTAGGCCTCTCCCCTCTGGTGCTGTTTTCTGTCTAGATACAGTCGTAGGCTGTAGATGCAAAACTAAGCTGTAGGCTGTCGGGTCTGGGAGGCTGGAGAGGAACAAAAGTACCGAGGGCAAAGTTTTAGTGTTTCCGTAGGTCGCTGCTGAAGCTGCGTTAATTTCAAGTGCTGCTCCTCTCTCCTCGTTGAAGGGAAGCTGACAGCCATAGCTGGGTTTCCCTGGCTTGTGTGGAATTGGCCCCGGGGCATCAGGCCCTGCTTTGTGAAATGCTTCCTCCACCGCTGTTCTGTTGGGGTTTTGACAGCTGCCATYGAAGCAGCTTTTCCATGCCTGCTTCGAAGTGGCAGGKCACCATYTTCATYGRGCTGTTGTGCTTCTTCTTCGTCTAGGGAGCTTCCCTCCTTTGCTGATCGGACACGTCATCTGCAGTGGGCATCGCGGTTGAACTGCTGAGTGACTGTTTGGGGATACAAGGGTTGGTGGCGATTAGTGGGCTTGATAGGTTGGGCGCAGGCCTGCGCCATAG